TCGTACTGACAATGGTGGTGAGTACCGTGGACCCTTTGATGTCTATTGCAAGCAGCAGGGTATCAGACATGAAAAGACTCCTCCTAAAACTCCTCAATTGAATGGTTTAGTAGAGAGGATGAACAGGACATTGCTTGAGAGGATGAGATGTATGCTCTCAGATGCTAAATTACCTAAGCATTTTTGGGGTGAGGCACTATACACGGCAGTGCATGTTATTAATCTCACTCCTACTGTTATTCTTGACAGTGAGGTGCCGGACAAAATTTGGTTTGGCAAAAATGCAAGTTATGATTACTTGCATGTCTTCGGTTGTAAGGCATTTGTTCATGTTCCAAAGGATGAAAGATCCAAATTGGATACGAAGACAAGACAATGTATCTTTATTAGTTATGGTTAGGATGAATTTGGCTACAGGTTGTATGATCCTGTTAAAAAGAAGCTTGTTAGAAGCCGTGATGTGCAATTCATGGAAGACCAAACCATTAAAGATATTAACAAGGTGGAGAAGACTACACCCGAGAAAGATAATAATTTGACTGATGGTAATCCCATGAGGTTGCCTGTTCACAATCTGGATAATGTTGAGACTGATGCTCCGAATGATGAGCAACATGGTGATGTTGATGATCAACAAAATGGAAATGTATAAGAAGTTCCTTTTGATGATGCTCAAGAGGAACATGATATGATACATGATGATGATCTTGATCATGAATTACCACAACTCCCTCGATCCAATAGGTTGAGACACTCGTCTTCCAGGTATTCTTCTGATAAGTATGTGACCTTGACTGATGGAGGTGAACTTGAGTGTTTTGAAGAGGCTTTGGAAAGTGAAGAAAAGCAATAGTGGTTGGATGCAATGCAAGATGAGATGAAATCCTTGCATGATAATCACACTTATGACTTGGTGAAATTGCCTAAGGGTAAGAGGGCCTTAGAAAACAAGTGGATTTTCAGGGTAAAACAAGAAAGTCATTCTACATCTCCGAGGTACAAAGCCAGATTAGTGGTGAAAGGGTTTAGACAAAGAAAGGGTGTTGATTTCAATGAGATTTTCTCACCTGTGGTGAAGATGTGATCCATTAGAATTGTATTAAGTTTAGTTGCTACTCTTGATTTAGAGGTTGAACAGATGGATGTGAAGACAACTTTCCTTCATGGTAATTTGGAGGAAGAGATTTACATGAAACAACCCGATGGTTTTCTTGTTGAAGGCAAGGAAGACTATGTGTGTAGGTTGAGAAAAAGCCTATATGGTTTGAAGCAGGCTCCAAGACAGTGGTACAAGAAGTTTGAGTCTTTTATGTGTGAGCAAGGCTACAAGAAGACTACTTCTGATCATTGTGTCTTCGTTAAAAATTTTTCTGATGATGACTTTATTATCCTGTTATTGTATGTTGATGACATGCTTATTGTTGGGAAAGATGTTTCTAGGATTGATAGGTTAAAGAAGCAACTGGGAGTCATTTGCCATGAAAGACTTGGGAGCTGCTAAAAAGATTCTTGGTATTAGTATCACACGTGATAGAAAAGAGAAGAAGCTTTGGCTATCACAGGAGCACTACATTAAGAAGGTATTGCAGAGATTCCAGATGGAAAATTCTAAAGTAGTAAGCACTCCTCTTGCAGCTCATTTTAAATTGAGTGTTGAGCAAAGTCCTTCAAATGAAGCTGAGAAGACATATATGAACAGAGTTCCTTATGCATCTGCGGTGGGTAGTTTGATGTATGCAATGGTATGTACAAGACCAGATATTGCATATGCTATTGGTACAGTAAGTCGATTCTTATCAAATCCAGGTAGAGAGCATTGGAATGCTGTGAAATAGATTTTGAGGTATCTTCATGGTACTAGTGGTTTAAGGCTTTGTTTTGGAGGAGATAAGCCTACTTTGGTGGGTTACTCAGACTCAGATATGGCTGGAGATGTTGATTCCAGAAAGTCCACTTCGGGCTATTTGATTAACTTTGCAGGGGGAGCTGTAGCTTGGCAATCAAGGCTACAGAGGTGTGTAACATTATCTACTATAGAGGCAGAGTTCATTGCTATTACTGAAGCATGTAAGGAGTTGCTATGGTTGAAGAAATTCTTGCAGGAGCTTAGTTTTGTGCAAGACAAATACCCTTTATTTGTTGATAGTTAGAGTGCTATCCATCTTGGCAAGAATCCAACTTTCCATTCTAGGTCCAAACATATTGATGTAAGGTATCATTGGATACGTGATACTTTGGATGCTAAGTTGTTGGAGTTGGCAAAAATTTATACTGATGATAATGGTGCTGATATGATGACTAAAGCATTGCCAAGAGGAAAATTTGAAGTTTGTTGTGAGATTGCCGGTTTGGCGGTTATCTCCACATAGTTGTGAGAGGGAGATTTGTTGGGTATTGGGCTCCCTTCGTATGTGGAGAAAAGGCCCAAAACAATTGAGAAGCCCAATTTTGTCTCACTTAAAAACCAAGTGGAGAGGGGTCTCTTAGGGTGAACAAGCGAGAGAGAAAATTACACAGCCGTCAGGGAGAGCAAGAAGAGAGAAAGAGAGCAAAAATTTGGTTCCCACACACAGAGCAGTTTCAGTAAAATTGCAATTCCCACTTCGTTTACCATTGGATTGGGCTGGAAATTTGACAGCAGGTTCTTAACACAGTTATCTTCGTTTTGACTGTTGGGATCGTGGATTGGAGGTATGTGGTTAGAGAAATCAATTTCGTACAGTTGCTCTAATTTGAGGTTTCTTCTTCTTTATTTTCAGTTGGAAAGCCTCGTTGCTTTAATATATTAGTTGGTTGTAAGCATTTGTTTATGCATTTGATTAGACTCTCTTGTACCCTAATTTGATCATAGTGGAGCTTGATTGACTGGCTTTTGCCCGTGGGGTTTTACTTCTCACATTGAGAGGGTTTTCCCACGTTAAAAATATTTGTGTCTCTTTGTGATTATTTTCTGTCTTTTATTTATTTTGTTGCTCCTCGTTAGTTTTTGCAAGTTGGGGGAATTATTTCCACTGCGTACTTTGATACTCTTGATTATTCTGTTGTTGTTTCCCCTATCAATAATTGATTAACACATGTTCCAGGAACCATAAAACTCAGTTTTCAGTAGAAGTAATTGATTACGAATGTTGGTTATCGATTATCTCAATACCTTTTCAATTTGTTTCACTTGTTTTCACTCAAAAGTTGTCATGGTAATCAACTACATCAATAGGCAATCGATTATTACAGAGAGGACTTTGAATTTCACTTCAAAACTAAGTTTCAATAATCTATTCACATGGTAATCTATTACATGACTTAACCTTGAATTATTTTGAATGAATCAAGTTCCATTTTATGTCAAAATACTTTGTAATTTCTTACATTATGTTTTCACATGAAATGAGAAACATTTGAGTTTTATGCTTTTTAAAACAAGATGTAATTTGAAATTAATTCATCATGATAATAGTAATAAGCAAACACATCCATGCCTAAGTTTAATAACAAGTAATACAATATCCTTTTCAACATAGGCCATGAAGCAAAAATGAATGAAGCAAACTTATTGAAGCTACACAAAGTTAATGCTGATATCATCAAAACTAAAATATCTTCTTCAATTTTCATAAAGATCTTCAAGAGGGACTTCAGTAATTAACTCAACAATCTGAACAATCTTCTCCTTTTTGGTTTTGATGAGCCAAATACCAATTGCTTCATAGTATAAAATTTGAATACTTCCAATACAAAAACATCATGTAGATTTCTTTTTCAATTTTCAAATTTGTGTTTAATACAAATTGTAATACAAATTAATCCAATAAAACACAAATGATCAATTTTCTCATACATTTAGAACATTGATTATCATCAATTTTCTCCATATACTCAGATTAATTATCATTAATATCATCAATAATGTCACTCACCATGATCAAGTATATCAAATAAACACATATAAAACACAAAATACTATCAATTTTCTCACAAAACATATAACATATAAACACAAAATATAAAAATTATGTCATCAATTTTCTTCTCCTGTTTGGCATAATCCAAACCAAAAATAGAGTAAACACATATAAATAAATGATATTTAAAATACAAAACAGATATCTACATAAAAGATATAGATATTTTAATATTTTGTAGTTTATTGTTAAACATCACACACACACAAGACTAGTATTTGTATCCTAATTTTATTTCTTCTATATTCTCAACTCTTGTATGTTTATAAAATTACACACGCATATATATAAAAGACTAGTATTTATATCCTAATTTTATTTCTTCTATATTCTCACCTCATTTATGTTTATAAAATTATTTATTATTTCACTATCAACTTATTCTAAATAACCAACAATTAATTCACTACTTAATTTTGAAATGTGTTTTAACTATTATTTTTATTTACAACGAAAAAACAAAACCAGATATACAATGTATTTTTTTTTTTGTTGTGTATGTCCCCAATATCTGAAGTACTTTTACAATATAAATTTATTTTATATGACATCCCACAATATATTGTGTTATGGGGCCGGGGTGTGAATCGTCATTTTCTTTAAAGATAAGATTTGTTTAAAATAATAACAAGTTCAAATAGTAAAATAGGGAGTGTGAACAGTAATCTATGTGCTCAAACTGGGTTGTAAAGTGGGCCTGACAAGTTGGTAGGCTGGGCTATGTCATAATCACTGGGAAGTGACGTGTACACAATGGAGTAAAAACGCTAGCAAAAGCAAACGTTTCTGTCAGCGAGTGTGGCTCGTGTTGTTCCTTATTATTAATTATTAATATTAATGAAAAAACATGAACAAGAAAAATGAAAAAACATGAACCAAATACATTGTACAAGGACTGCTCTCACCTCTTGCCAAGTTTCTCGAAGTACTATAGAGTAGAGTAGACACAGATACTGACAATAAGAAGAGCTTTCAACTTTGGTGTATTATTGTTCAACTTACCTGTCTCTGCTTTCATCTTTTGTAAGCTGTTTCTGCTTTTCTTTTTCCTTTTTTTTTTTGGCACTTCTCCATTTTTATCATTTCTTTTTTTTTTTCTTTTTGGGTTCACAGTTCACTGCTTGCCAAAGTTTGATTCTTTTTGCTAACTGCATGACTTAGGATTATACTAATTCATTTGGGTGCTGTGGAAAATGGCTGAACAGTGAATGGAAACTTGTGATTCTTTAGTGTGAATGGACCCATTCTCTTGTTAGGTTTTGCTGCAAGGAATCTTTTTTTCTTTCTTTCCTTTGGTTTAAAGAAAAATAAATGGTGGGGTTTGTGTCTGAAGCATGTGAAGCTTCAGGTTATGAGCAAAGTTTCTTTCTTTTTGTTTTTCTGTGTTGTGTTTGGTTTTCTTCTCCCCCTTTTTTATCTTGCCAACTCTTGCTGTGTTAAATGGAGCATTTTCGTGCTTGTGCTTTGAAAATCGTGGAGTGTGGATGGTGGTGACTTGGTGGAGGCCTGGTTAGTAAAGTTTTTGTGCGGTTTCTTGTGGTAAATAAGTGTTCAATGTCAATGGGAATTGGGAATTATAGTCACTGAAAGTAAATATTCTTGTTTTGAAGATGCAGCTGTAGAAGTTTCTCTTGTTAGGGATTGCCTAAATTGGGATATCTATGTTGGAGAACCTCATAAGGACCTTATTGGTCCAGTCATTGCTATTGTTGGCTAAGGGTTCTTGATGAATTTGTTGTTATCCATGGAGAAAGAAGTTTGAGGGAATATGGACACTTATGGTTTATGAATATTGTGTCTTATACAGACTCACAGTGGTGTCTTGAACTTAAAAAGAAAGATGAACATTTTTACTTTTGCTTCTTGAATGTGCCATTTTGTCTTGGCAGCATGCTTAGCTGGTCATTTTCTTTGTGTAAATTATAAAATGTATGAGTTTCCATTTTGCTTTTGCATATAATAAAAATGAAAATTTCATGATGCCAAAACCATTTTAAGACTTTCAACAATCACAATATGCTCCAGTAAGGTTCTAATGGAGTTTTAAGTATTGATATTTCAAATTCTACAGTGAAACTTGTTTACCATCTTGCACTCATTCACACGAGATGATGCCAATTACAACTTCCTAAGAAATTTTCAACTAACTTGCAGGTTAAATCAAGAGGGAACTACAAAAAAGGACTTAAAACGGCTTTGTAGACTGAAGATATATGTTATCAGAATCCAAAATTCGTGAGTGTTGTCCTGTGATTTGTGAGATATATTCAATCTGTGTCTTTTGTTTCTATATTCATAATTTTTTTCACTGATCAGTTCTGAACACTCGATTCCCTCATGGAATGGACTTCATTGTATTGTGACGCACGTTTACTTTTGTCTTTAGTGCTTGAAGCCTAGCATCCAGTAGTTCAGGATTCTTATCTGTAGAAGAATAAATGTTGGGCAACAAAGTGTTGCTAACTTACAAAAGAAAGCGGCAATCACTAAATAGTGGTTTTATCCATGGGAGTTGTAGCCAAAATTCAATAAGTGAAGATGCTCATAATTGTTCTTTATCTGCACAAGTTAAACAGGAGAAGCAAACTGCAGAAAAGTCATCAGAAAAGCCTGAAGAAGAACTATTGGTGAGGTTCTTAAAATGCAACTTCTGGTTTTGTTGACATGTTCTCATGTTCATAGAGCATCAAGCATGTCTCCCTCTCCTTTTCTTTTTCTGCAATTCCATTTCTAGCAAGATTTGTCAAACCTCTTGCAACCCTTGGCATAAACTACTACCTAGTAGCTAGGTTGATTCATGCATTTCTATCAAATAAAAATGGTTTTTATTTTTACAAAATACTTGATTTAAGTGCATTGCTGTATTTTGGTATTGAAGATAATATTTCTAGAGTGAAAAGCTCTGATACCGTATTACTGGGGCTCATGTAGTTGTCTAAAACTCAAGTCTGACAAGTAAGGGTAGCATTGTGAAGGCCTTGTTACAACTTTTTGATAAAACAAAATACCATATTTCTGGGGCTCATGTGGTTATCTAAAACTTGTGTCTAGCATTGTGAAGGCCTTGTTACAACTTTTAGTTAAAACAAAATTTTAGATAAACAAAATTTCTGTGTTAAAAATAAAATTATTTTCATTATTCCTCATTTACTCGATGTGAGACTTGTTCCCTTTAAAACTATACTTATTAAATATCCAACAAATATCCAACTTTTGAAATACTCTTAACATTCTCATAAAATTGTAGAATACTGTGTGATACATGAAAGCAAGAAAGCCTAATACAATTTAGGATGTGAGGGGAGGAATGCAGTAGCTGATAACCAAGTAACAAATTTAAACAACCAAATCCAATTTTTACCATTTTGCACTATTTACAGGCTAGGAAGGTGTATATCTTTGTTACGAAAGTTCTTTAAATGCAAGAGCTGGTATATCATGTCCACAAACAACACTAAAGTTGAGTTTTTCTTTTTTTCCTTTTAAAGAATAATGGAAGTGCTAGAGAAATTTATCAAGTATGAAGTTTCATCTTGGATTTGTTTCATGCGGTTTACCTGGTGATCTGATGCATTGTATTGACTGCCATCAATAATATAATTGTCAATTCAAGAGCAAGTCAATTATATCTAGTGGTTAGAAAAAGAGTTTAAACTTCCTGTTATATGGTGAGCTTTTTTGATTGCATGCTGTCAGGCTTACTCATCTATACATTTTGTAGGGTACTAGTGATGAGAAATTGCCATGTTTCAGACAGCCAGATTGTTCATCATTGCATCCAGTTCAAAATTCTGGTGGCCCTAAGATAGGGGAGCTTGGAACTTGCGATGCATTACAAATGGTGACTACTACACACAAATCATTTTCAACAACACATCCAAGCGAGGATAACATCAAGAGTGATGTTGGAAAATTACCCCCTGTAGAAAAGGATTCACAGAATGATTGCGTTACTCAAAGAAATTCCTTTGCCAGTGAAAACTCTGGTAGTGGATGTGGCAACTGTTCAAATGAAAAAATTGCTTCCCTGCCAGTTGAATTGGATGCTGGGAATGATTTTAATTTACACAACTCAGAAACATTGATCACAAGGGAATTCAGTTCTGCAAATGTCAATAAATCTCCTGTTTTGAATAATTCAGTGGACAAACCTACTGATTCACACTCCAAAGATAATTTCAGGAATCCATCTGGACGTATGCTTTTGCAGACCAACTTGACCAGTTCGTTAATAACCTTCAATCGATGTTACAAAAGAAAAAAGGGTTTGGATGGAGCTGATAGGCAGAGCAACATATCACAACAGAAGGAAAACATTTCAGTGTTAACCAAGTGGAGTATGCTTGCAAATGGCAATTCATGTTCTAGTGATGAATCATCTAGTGAGGAATGTCCTGTAGAAAATGTACCAGACCTTAATCAATCAGTGGATCTTTCAAAAAGAGAGAAGGCATTGAATGAAACTCTAGATGAAAAATCTTGTAGAAGCAGCTCTAAGGTTTTTCTGACAGACCTTAATCAATCTGCTGAGTTTTCAGAAAGAGGGGAGCTTTGTCAAACTCAAGAAAAAGTATGGCTTCCTGGTGATTCTCTTGAACCTTATGGTTTGTTACTCAAAATTCTGATTGATTCATGAATTATATAATAATTTTTTTTGGAGATTATTCTAATTTGTAGAAGCTTTTTAAATTTTGTATTAGTCCTTTGAGCTCATTTTAAGATTATCATTTTCCCTCATTGCTGATCTATATATGTATTGACTGATCAATGCATTGAATCATGGGATGATTTATAAAGTAATTTATTCACTACGAAAAAGGGATTTTGTTATCAAATTCTTGGACTAGTTTATGTTGTGGAACTAGGAGTTTGAGCATGGAAACCTCATACTGTCCAAGCGAACATGTAATCTATTGAAACACGATTGGTATGTTAGTGCAACTGCAAGTAGTTATTTTCCATGGATTTGTGTATTTCCACATTGTTTTTTTTAGATCATGACTAAAATCATCTTGTAATTCAACCCGAGTATTTATCCATGAATGATGTTCATGCCCTATTCTGCACTCAACTTATTTTAAGAAGTTGGCTTAATTGCACTTTTGGTTTCTAGTTTGAATTGTGACATATGAAATCATTTTGGGGGTTAAAGTGGGAATTATATATATATATATATATATATAT